AGTTCAGATTTCCCAAATTCAGCGATTTGCGCCTCAGCGCCGATCTGAGCGTTCGACGCTCAGATCGTCCAAATCGTCCAAATCGCGCTGCTCTAATCGCGCTTGAGGCGCCGCAGAACTTCCCGACGTTGCTTGAAGCGCGTCCACCATAGACTTTGTATGTAAACCTGCTGCTCCTGACGCTGAAATCGCGTTCGGTGTGAACGCACCATTACACACATCTCTGCTGCTTCTCCTTTATTACCCAGTCAAACCCCCATTAACATTGTGTCAGCCCACCCATGGACCAAATTAAATAAATATAAAAACTCTAGAAAAATAAACCATAAAAATCTTATAAAAAATAAACACAGTTACTTTACCAGAAAAAAACAATAAAACTATTCAGGTCTAAACAGGTCGTGGTGGAGGAGTAGCTGTAGTTTATAAGTCAGAACTATGAATTAAAGCTAAATCAAATATTAGTTATAATTAATTTGAGTCTTTGTCCCTCAGTCTTTCTCATCTAAATTGGAAATCAAAAAACCTCTGTTACTTGCTGTTATTTGTCGTCCACCGGGCCCTTATTCTCAATTTTTATCAGAGTTCTCAGATTTTCTGACTGATTTATTAATAAAAACTGATAAAATTATAATAATGGTGATACAATACAATGGTGATACCATACAATGATGGTGATAGCTTAAATATAGCTTTTAGTAATCTAATTGAGTCAATTGGTTTTACTCAAAATGTCCATAGACCTACTCACTCCCTTCATCACACTCTTGATCTGGTTCTGACGTATGGTGTGGAGAGTAAGAACTTAATGATATATCCTCACAATCCTGTTCAATGTGACTATTTTTTAATAAACTTTGAGTTTACATTGGCTGATTTTATAGCTACTGAGAGTAAATTTCATTATAGTAGATGTTTATCAGAGAATGCTGTAGCTAAATTTAAAGAATCTGTTCCATCTTTATTTTCCTCTTTCTTACAGAATAATGTAACAGAGAACAGTAACTTAGATGGTCTTGTCCTGTTGTTCTTGTATTACAACTTTAATGCAAACCTCTCTTGATGAAATTTCTCCATTGAAAAAGAAAGTTATCGATCGGAGGAAGCAGACTCCTTGGTTTAATTCAGAGTTACGTTCTTTAAAACAGGCATTTAGAAAACTAGAAAGAAAATGGCGCTCCACTAACATAGAAGAATCTTATTTAACCTGGAGAGACAGCCTGCCAACATATAAGAAAGCTTTACGTAAAGATAGAACTGTATATTATTCATCTTTAATAGAAGAGAATAAAAACAATCCCAGGTTTCTGTTCAGTACTGTAGCTAGACTATTGAAAAGTCCTATCTCTGTTAAGCCATGTATCCCTATTACTCTAAGTAGTGATGACTTCATGAAATTCTTTATAGATAAAATAAATTTAATAAGGAATAAAATTCATGGTCCGTCGGATAGTCGAACCTCGGATTCAGGAAGAGCAGTGTGGTTTTCGTCCTGGTCGTGGAACACTGGACCAGCTCTACACCCTCAGCAGG